TAAACTAATCAAATAATCATATCAGACTAATCTGCTTTCGAGTGGAATTTTTTATGAAATTTTAAGAGAATGTTTTTCATCAAGTGTAAATTATGCTCATAAAATCTCAGCTTAAAATTTAATCATGAAGTGAATTAAATAAATTACTGAAAAACAATGCACCAAAATATGTATACGTACAAACCCAATGCTTTTGAATAATCTATTTAACTGACTTCTAAATTGAATTTTGAACTATTTTTTACATAAGTTTTCACCAAAAAAATGCATTCCGAAGAACTTCAAAAAATTTCATTTAAAAAATTGTTATTGTAGGGCTGAAAAATCAGCCTACTCACACCTATTACAAAGAGCTAAACTTGAGCCTATTTTTTATTCAATTTTTTTGGGCCTAGGGCGACCGCCCGCCTTGCACCCCCCTAGGGCCGCCCCTGGCCCAAGGAAACATATTATTTTAGGGAAAAATCTCGAAATGGGACAAAAAACGTTTGTAAATTCCAAAATAGGACTGCCATGTTTCTATTCCCAAAATAGGAGTAATTACTGCCAAGTTTGGAAAATACTGTCATGTTTAAAGTCTGGTAGTGCCAAAACATGATAGTAATTAGTCCTATTTTGGGAATAAAAACATGATAGTCCTATTTTGGATTTTACAAATGTTTTTAGTTCTATTTAGGGTAATTTCCCATTATTTTATGATGTTAAGAACAACTATAGACAATTTCTTCAGCCCAAAACAATTAGTCAAAGAAAAATCACATAATTATGGGTGCTAACATAACTTCTTACATAAAGTTCGAGATATATTTATATTACATGCGCAAATTTGAGATGTTCACTTCACACATATTCAAATTTGGGGGTATTTGAATTATTTTTCCATTCATTTGTACTGGACTACTAAATATAAGTGGGATTCTTTCTGCCACTCTATTTGAATTGTATTTTAAACAAACAAAAATCTTCACACAATCTAAACTACAAACTAAACAATTCAATTGAGTTCTGATTTTACTTTTCAATTGCTGGAGCGAAGATGATGATGTGGATAATACTAATTAAAGAATAACTCAAATCTAAATAATTTGAAGGGGAAAGTATAACGGAAGGGGAAAACAAATCATTCACACGAAAATAAGAAAGCTACAGTAATAACGATGTATAACACACTACCGTTAACATGGAAACTTTAGTGACATTAAAAGTACAAGAAAGTATACGTGGTGTACAATCACTTTGTGCATAAAGAGACACCAACATTTTTTGTATTACCGTTATAACCCTAACATTATTCACTCTTATAATATTGTAGAGATATTAGGAAATATTTTATTTATATTCATATACTATATTAATTTTATATTAAAACTAATTGTTTCGGATTTTTTCGATCAGGGCCGGGTTATAGATTTTAAGGCCCGTTAATGAGCCCGAAATTTTCGATTCGGTCCAGTTTTTTTTAATTCGGGCCAGTTAAAAAGAAAAAACCCGGACAAGGATCATAATTCGGGTCGGTCCAGGGTCGGTTTCCGGGTTTTGGTTCGGTTTTTCCCACCCCTAGTATAGAGGGGTTGTTAAATGTTCAATACCCGAAATTCACTTCTTAAAACATTGCCTACATTATGGACATTGGATATGTGCTAGGAATGTTTATACTCGAACTCTTTTCAGTCCTAGACCAGATCTCATAAAATCTGACCAGATCAGACTTAAACAGATCATACCAAACTAGAATTCCATAATTATAAAATACATAGAGACTAGACATTTACCAGACCAGAATTAAACAGATCGGATCAAGCTTAAATAAATCGAACTAGACCAGACCAACAAAGTTCAATCCAAGTAAAAACATCCTAAGATTATAAGATCTAAATGAACTAGGACTTAATATAAACACCCCACACTGCCTAGGGGTGGGCAAAATACCGGAAAATCGGTATGCCGCACTTACCATACCGAAAAATACCAGAAAATACCGAAATATTGGTATACCATCATTGTCAGTACGATATCATACCGTATGGATTTATTTCAGTATGGTAACGATAAATGTTTATGGCGACAAACATTGGAGACCAAAGGTTTCAGACTGAGGCAAAACAAGAGTGGGTATACGGAGTACAAATTTGGTTGAGGTAGAAGTTGTAGGAACAGTGGGATCCCTCTTCATGGTAAGAAGATACCAGTGTGTGATATATTTTGTTTCTTGGGCTCCATAATTCAGAAGGATGGTGAATTAGATGGAGATGTATCCCATAGAATCAGAGCTGGGTGGATGAAATGGAAGAGTGCATCAGGATTTCTATGCGATCGAGGTATGCCGACTAGACTGGAAGATAAATTTTATCGAACAACAATTAGGCATGCATTAATGTATGGCGAAGAGTGTTGGGCGGTAAAATAGTGTCACATTCAAAAGATGAGTGTGGCAGAGATGCGTATGTTGCATTGCATGTGTGAACATACCAAAAACGACCGCTTGAGGAATGACATAATCAGACAAAAGGTGCGATTAGCACCTATAGAAGATAAGACGCAGGAGTCGCGTTTGGGGTGGTTTGGCATGTGCGTAGAAGGCCGACTGATGCACCCGTTAGTCGATTTGAGGGGTTGGGAGAAGAGATAGAGAGGAGAGGGAGGGGAAGATCCAAACTGACTTGGATTAGAGGAATCAGAACTTATATACGTCTTCTTGAGTTGAATAAGAGTATGGATTTGGAGAGGGCAAAGTGGAGGGCATATATTCGTGGAAGCGTATATAGTACCACCGGTTGTACGGTGCTCACCGTACAGCCGGTGGCATTTTTGTAATTTATATGAAATTCGCGTCTCGTACTAAATGAGAATTAAACCACGCCTAGTGAGCAAGTGACATATTTTGTTGAGCATTAGAAGCATAACATTGAGCATCGTGATCTCTGCTTCATCTCTTCGAATTTACTTTCTTTTCCTTATTTTTTTCTTTAAAAAAACTTATTAAATTATATCTATAATCAACTCTTATGAACTCCAGTATGCGAATTTAATGCAATATGATACTTTTGAAATATACATTGTTATGTCATATTACAAATGAGCATAACATGAATACCCGTTGAGCATACATAACTTATAAAATGAGAATTGATATGAAAATCATAAGTACTTTTAATTGAACATCAAGACATTTTTATTGAGCATCAACTTGAAAAGTATCACCAATGATTTTCATTATGCGATTGTGATGAACATTGAGTCTGTTCTTTTTAAATGAGCATAAAATAACACCAAATGAGCATATGTAACTTACAAAATGAGTATCAAAAGATTTAAAAGTCCATTTGTGTATGCTCATTCATTTTGACCTTATACTCATTTGAGTTTAACATTAATATGATACGTTTGAAACGAGTATAAAGAGGTACCAAATGAGCATACATAAATCACAAAATGAGTATAAAAAATTCAAAAGATCATTTGTGTATGCTCATTCATTTTCGGTTGTATACTCATTTGAGTTTTACATAAAACTCATTTTTAATATGCTCGATATTTATTTGTGTATGTTCATTCTTTTTAAGCTTATACTCATTTGAGTTAAATATAAACTCATTTCAGATTCGTCATCAAGAAATATGAACTCAAATCTCCTAAATCATCTTCCAATTTGTCATCGACCAATTTGTCTCTTGCGTAGCTCTGCTAGAGGAGAAGAGAGTGGCGAGAGGAGAGCTTGAGGAGAAGAGAGCTGTCAGAGGAGTTGCTTGCTTGGAGCTTGAAGTTCTTCGCAAGCACCGCAGAAGCAGGACGAAGCAGGGACGGAGATCGGAGAAGCCAGGCGAGAAGCAGGGAAGAAGATCGAAGAAGCGCAGAAGTCCTAAAAAAGACCGGCTGTACCGTGCGCACGGTACAGCCGGCTGTACGGTGTATTTTACCTATATTCGTGTGGACGATTGATCTTTATTTAATCTTTTCTCTCTCATTTTCTTTTATCGTTTATCTTCTTTATTTTTTTATGTTCTTATGTTCTTTTTATCTTCTAGCTTTTTTATGATCTTTTATCTTTTTATTTTTTATCTTTCTTATATTCTTATGTTATTGTTATCTTATATTTATTTATCTTATCTTATTCATTTTATCTTTTTTTTCTTTCTCTCTCTTCTTGTATGTTTTATCTTTTTGGCATCGATATCAAGGTTTGGTCAATGTTAGCCGACTCCAAAATCTTTTGAAATTAAGACTTGGATATTGTTGTTGTTGTAACGAATAATATTTTCAAATACCACGTTATACCGATATAATACCGTACTGACTTCCTACCCAACAATTGATTTTAGTTCTAGAATATTGTAAAAGTCCATTAAAATTGTGAAGCGCAAAATTAATACTTAGGTTGCTTACAAATACAATAATATATAAATAAAAGCTCAATTTCCCAAACTCACTATAACGTTCTAAGCTTCTACTAAAACAAACTAACTCTAATGACTAATAAATAATGTATTAATATCCAGAAACAAGTCCATCTTGTTCCAAAAGCTTGCGAGTCATGATGGCTAAGCCACTGATGAGTGAAAAGTATACACTTATTTGACGAGTGTATCTACATAGGGATTCCACGAGTCAAGAATCAAGACACAACTTTGCCTGAATGTCTTATTAAAATATTTTTTTTTTATAAAAATGACTTAATACAAATATCATATTAGGAATAAATGATTTTATATCAATGGTGTTTGAATAGATTTATTTATTTTTGTTAGAGATCACTATTGATTTAATTATATTTATGTTATTCAAATTATTTTAGGAGAATGTGTTATCTTTTAATACGTGGATGTTGAACTGGTTAAATATACTAATAAAAATTAAAGTTCATTATTGAATATGACATCAATAGATTATTAATTATGTTTTATAACTTTTTAAAAATGGATTAAATATGTCGCTCGTGACACTGATTTAGTATATTTCGTTAGTTTATGATAATTTGTTATATCGGGGGACATGCATGGTAATTTATTGATAACGTACTGTTACCGAATCAAAAGTTCGGTATACCGAAATGTGGTATACTGAAACTTCGATAGGGTAACGGTATATATATTTTTGTATACCAAAAATTTTAGTAGAACAAAAGTATGAGAGTAAATATTCGGTATACAGTACCGAACCACCCCTAAAACTGCCACATGATTTATCAAAAAGCAGATGTTGTGCGGTACTTTGCGCCTCATCCAGAGTAATTGCTGAGCAACTAAATACATCGGTCTTGCAGCAATGACTCAAAAAAATACAGTGAAGCGTATATACAAATGCTCGAGTCAGAGAACATTACAATTTACAAAAGCCGCTCCAATTATGCTTAACTTAGCCCAAGAGCATCTTTGCTCTACGTTGTAAATCGATCAATAAATCAACAACCTCACTGCCACGGCATTCATCGTAATCAGCAAGGTGTACCAAGCTCCATATTACTTTTATCACTTTTTCATCCCAATTCTTACTGGAAATTCCTTTGGATCTTGACCTCTTGTCATATACTCGCTCAAACTCTTGAGACTTTCGATCAGCCTTTTGTAGTACAATATCAGGAACCCCTACAGTATTAAATGGTCTAAGTAAGAAAAGGAAATGAGTTTCGAACAGCAACCCAGATGTACGACCCGCCAGGGGCAAATATTCTAAAAAGAAGCCTGCTGTATAGTGTATACATCCAGCGTTAAGCCTTTTTTAATTCAAACTCACCAGCCAACCGTGCAACATTTCCACCATAACTCTTAGGGCATGTGCCCAGTGTCAACTTATAAAGAAAAGTAACTTCCTCCAAACCTCCTACTCCTTTGCCAACTTGACATGCCATGTGACAGAGAGAGACCTGGACAAGGAAAAAATGAGCATAATGATGGTGATCTATTGGTACAAGAACGTTCTGAGGTCTCCATTGCCTGATTCAAACTAGTACTACCTCCGTCCCGTTGGAAGGTTCCCATAGCAAAATGGCACGGTTATTTAGGTAATAATTGAATAAAATACTTTGAGTATATTTATAGAAATAATTTTAATAGGTATATATTATAATGTAGTTAGTATTGATAACTGTGATGATTATTTTTAATATTTAATGATCAATTTCTCACTTAAGATTGCTAATTGTTTCCTAAAATGGAAATGAGAACCTTCTAATGGGACGTCCAAAAAAGGAAAGTGAGAACCTTCTAATGGGACGGAGGGAGTATCATACTTTACAAGTGTCAATCCCCCCCCCCCCCCCAAACCAAATTTGAGAAAACCTCGATTTCAATTCTCAAGTATTGGGGACTAATGAATACTTGATGTACCTTGGGATTTTGCAGATAATCAATGGCTAATCGGTGATAATGAGTAGAAAACAACCCTCGGCATTGTACCTTGTGAACAAAATGTTCAAGAACTGCAGCACTGCCATAATAGTTTGCAAAATAAGAACTTCACCAGCAAAACTGAGTAAACAAATAAACAAATATGGATATATGCATTACGCTAGTGCTTGTCCATCGGATGTTGATGTTCCACGGCCAAGTTCATCTAGTGCAACAAGTGAATTTCGGGTTGCAGACGACTGCAATTACCGTCAGAATTAGGTTAAAATGAATAGACAAGGACTAAAGTAATAACACTACAGCATCAGAAAACAATTTTAGGAACAAACATGCACAGAGCTCATAGGATTCGAGTCCTTTTTGGCAGTTCTGAAGAGTCAATAGTCAAAAATGCCCTTAGTGCGCTTTGAAAATTAAATGAATATTCACTTTCTCATATACAATCAACTTACTGTGATGTTAACCTAAAAAACATTTGTGTTATCCAATAGGAGTAAACATTTTTATATATAAGAAGCAATGTTTGAAATTGCATATAGTGTCATTGTGGCAGTTCGCAACTTTTGTGCATTGCATAAGCATCTTTGCCCAACGAGGCGTAAGCCTCAGTTTTCTTACAAATTTATACATAAAAATTGTAAGAAATATTAAAAATTACTTCAAATAAACCCATCATAGTAGTCAATTCAAGAATCATACAAAAGAACGTTTGCCTATTGCATTATGGTTTTATGTTTTTTATATTATGCGACGACAACGTATACATCATGAGAGTTTGAAGATTGCCTAATCCTATATGTGTGTGTATTGGCTACTTAAATGTTGATAAATGCATACATATATCATCATATCACATGTTTCTTGAAAGATTTATAGTTGTTTATTTTTACCATTCAATTAATTAATATGTGAGATCCAAATGTAAATAAATGTATACAAATAATATGCTTTTCAGAAATACTTGGTACAAGAAAGACTGAAGAGTCACAGAAAAGGCGTATAAGAAAGTGAAGAGATGGAGAAGTTTTGAAAAGATGCTGTTTTTTTGGAGTAGGCCACTTCAATCCCACCCCATTGTGTATGCCTCAGCCTAAATGGCGTAAGCCTCAATATTGCCTAGTTTAGGAGTCGCCTTAATGCATATTTGTTCCACAACTCACTGAAATGTGACTTAAGGCGCAAGGCCATTGCCCAATTACGAATATTTCTAAGAAGCAGAGAATTGCAGTCAGGATATCAGGAAAGTTAAATTGTACTCCCTTCGTTCCATTTCGGTTGTCTTACTTTTCTTTTTGGGCTGTCCCAAAATGAATGTCATGTTTCCTTTTTTGGCAAGAAATATGTGGTCCATATCATTTCACTTTATTCTATTCAGATCTCAACCACAACTTTTACTTTTCAACCACTTTATTACTCATTGTGCCAAACTAAAACAAGACATCCAATATGGGATGGGGGTAGTATAAAATATATGACTCTCATTCTCATTGATGGATTAAAGAATTGCACTGTAGCTATATTTATAGCTATAACTAGGGCTAACTACATAATATTTGTAGCTATATTGACTGTCATGTTTATTATTTAGATTACCTTTTTCGTATGGCAATGCGTTTAATATATACTCAATAAGCATGAATCAAGTGCCTGTTTAACGGATTCTACTAACCACCGTTATAATCATGCCTCCATGCTTATGGAACTGTATACTCCGGTATAAGCATCTATCAAGTGCTTATGGATTTGGTACTCAATTACTCGAAAGATGAGTAATTGAGTAGAAGTAATATACCATAGGAATGGTTTCCTATCAGTTCTACCACACTTCCAAACTAGTATTAGCTTATCTGCTCATACTTGTTATTTGAGTTTAAGATACTTTATAATCTTGTCATTGTTGATCACATTTGATGAGTTAAGCATGGACTAGCATGTGTGTCCAATTGTCAGGGTATAGTGAGTAAGGCATCTGCACCCGATGAGACACCACAAGATGGGTATGATAACCATCATGGAATATGTACCGTAATGTACATTACGGTACAAGCATAAGCACCACTTGTCGTGCACACGTCGATATTATAATTTAAATCGAGATCTGAACAACCTTGGCAGTATGGCTACAAGAGAATATTATCAGTATAATCCAATATATACCCCTATGCTACCTTATGTATACCCCAATGCTACCATATGTTCTTTAAGACGATAATTTTTTCGGAAATAGACCTAAATAGGAGTAAAACATAGGATGAGTTCCTAAATAGGAGTTTACGTTTTTTATTCCCTAACTAGGACTCCACATCCCTAAAATACCCCTCTAACAATTAAAACCCCTATTCCCCAAATCAATTAACGATATTTGGCTTCTACAGAGTTCTTCATCTCTGCGATTCGCCGCCTGATTTCAAGTTTCAACTCCACAACCGTTGCTATTGGCCAGCCTTGCTTCTCTTGGACGGTAAGCCTCCACCGTCGTCGGAGCAGGTTACTCCATCTTCTTTTTCTTCTTCCTTCTTCTTCCTCCTCCTTCTACTCCTCTCCATTCTCCATCCTCCTCTCTTTTCATCTTCTTTTGATTTTTTGTTTCAATCAATGACTTTATTTCACTTTTTCAGATTTTAAATTGAACATTTATGTATAGATCTCGAAATTTGAGAAACGGAAATACAAGGCTTCATTTTGATTTCACCTTTATGCATTAGATCTGGAAATATGAAAGTTGTTTTTCAACTTTTCACCTTTTTCCGAAATTGAATTCACCTGCTGCCATAAAAAATTGTTCAATTTCAACTTTTGCCATAAAAAATTGTTCAATTTCACCTTTTTTCAATTGATTTTGTTTATTTTATTTTATTACATATTAAATCTAAAAATGCCATAAAATATTTTTTATCTGAATATTGCAAACTAATGCCACTTTTATGGCGTTACAAAGTGCCATTTTTACTCTAATGTCATGTTTTTTATATTCACAAATGCCATGTGATTTTTTTAAAAAGAATGGCTTGATGTCATTTTTATGGCACTAATTAAATCAATAATATTATTCATAATGTCATGTTTTTCTATCTAAAAATGCCATGTATTTTTAAATGCCATAAATTTTTCTCTCAAAATGCCATTTTCCAGATTTGGACATGTTAAAATATGTCATTCCTTTATGCATATGGCAAACCAACAAACATGCCAGAGATCCTTTATGAAGATGTCACTCTTTTATGAAAATGACAAACTTGCTGGAGACTTGTGGTTCCCTCACCAATTAAGGGGCCGGCCAGCACCAGCAAAGGTATGCCGACGGTGGCGACAACAGAGGCGGCCGTTGGCGGTAGAGAGGCTGTAGATGCGACGGCGAGTGGTTGTAGATGCGGCGGCGGCGGCAGCGATGTAAGATGCGCCGCCGGCAGTGCCGGTAAAGGTGGTTGTAACATCGTAGGGTTGAACCGCTGCATCTAGCTTCCGTGGCTCTTTTATATGTCTCCGTGATGTTTTATTTAGTTTTGTATTATTAATAAAACAGTTAGATTTTTCATTAAGGGTATTTTTGTCCACTCATACACTTTTTACTCCTATCAAACACTGATGTCCTATTTGTGCACTTTTTTTAATTTTTTACTCCTAGTTAGGTAATTCTCCCTAATTTTTTCCGTCAAGGCCAACAGGTCATTGATTTCCTAAGAGTAAGGGGAACTAATTTCCACATTCCATATTGCCTCCATCTCAGTCAACATAGTGCAACACTTTGAATCTGATAGTGCCTCACAGGTGATGTTAGGATTGTGCACATCAGAAAAATGTGAAATAAATGCATAGTAAGAGATGGAGAGATGAAGATAGCTAAGACAATTAAATATGGGATGAGAATTTAAAGTAGAACGTATACTTTTCCAAAGGGAAATAGGCATGATACCATTAAGAGTGACATCTTACTTAGGGGTAGCTGATTGCGTTAAAGTTGGATTTGTGGTAGGGGAGTCAATAAGCATGATATTTGTAGTCTCATTGGTAGGGCGAGGCGCGGCGCCAGCTGATCGCCATATCGCCTAGGCGTCTAGGCGCCCGCCTAGGCGACATGTCATTTCACATGTACGTAGTAATATTTAAATATACATACATATTAAAATAATTTATAACATATTACATACTCTGTGTTAAAAATGTACTACGTATATGAAACAACATACTTCGTATAATATATAATTTATATAGAATAAAATAATGTATTTCAAATTAAATTGAAATATATGTGTGTGTGTGTAAAACAAGTCAAACAACAAATAATTTATATTACATTATTATATTACATATGGAGTAAAATGGATGTTCAATACGGAGTACAATTTTTCACAAAGAAAATCAACATAAAATATACTCCGTATATCCGTCCAGCTATCCAAAGATGGATAGATTTTGTAAAGGGTTTCCAGTTGTCTCCAGTTGTACTCGTGAAAGGAATAAAAGCACAAGAGTAGCAGAACAGTAAAAAAAACGTAGCACAATAGTGAGGGGTCTACTTCGTTTTGAACAGTACGTAAGTTTAAAAAAACTGGAACGAGTGAGATTGATGGAGGCGGGGGAGGCAGAGTGGAGTAACAGCGGTGATATCCGACAGCCACCTGGGGCGTCGACCTGCGTCAGCGTCTCTGGCTGACGACGGGTCAGATCGAAAAAACCAAGATCTGGGCGTCGCCTTGACGACTTGCAGACGCCTAATCGACGCCAAGTTACGACTTGGCAGCTTCCGGCGAGTCGAGTGATCACGGCGCCACTCCTCCACTGCCAGGACGACTAATCGGCGCCTAGGTGACGCCTAGTCAACACCGTAACAACTATGCGGGTAGCATAGGAGTTTCTACAAGTAGACTTGTAAAAGACGAGGAGAGATGAAAGGATCATATGGTTGGGCTTCTATGGAACTTCAGAGCACGCATTTGTTTGAGTAGTGATAGGTGTAAAACACAGTTTGAAGTTGGGACACGGTCACACGGGGATGGACAGATAGGAGAAGTTGGTTAGTAACAAAGACTCAGTGAAGGTGACGTCGGCTGTAAAGTGTTTCTTTAGCGTTGGAGAACAACAACGATATCCCTTTTGAAGACATGAATACAAGAAAAATGCAATTGATTAAACTAGCAAACATTTTTGTTCGTTCTGGTGTTGTATCATGACCATAACAAACATATCTAAAAACACGAGGTGATAAAGGAAATAATTCACGTATAGGGTACAAGATAGTATAAGGAACGTCATTATTAATTACTGACAAAGCCATTTTGTAGGTTAGGTCACATGTAGTGAGAATAACATCGGCCCAATATTGAGATGGTGTATGGAAATGTAATGGCACAGTGCGAGCAGTAGCAACCAAAGGATGATTCTTGCGAGTGAATGCAGAATATCTGGTGCAACATCCCTCGAGAAGACATGAATTGATTATATGGAGTTGTAAAAAATTCTTACACATTATCATTGCGTAAACTTTGATAGAGTAACCAAATTGGGTCTGAAATTCAGCAAAAAAAAATTGGAATATTTGGAATTTTTTAAATCAAATAAAGGGGCAGCCCGATGCACATTGGCGTCTCCACAAGGCGAGGGTTTGGGGAGGGTCCCACCACAAGGGTGTATAAGGAGCAAGCCTTCATTTTCCATTTTGACAACATGTCGCTCCCAAGACTTGAACCCATGACCCCTCAGTAACACCGTTGTTTCATTAGCAATAAAGAAATTTTCCTATAAAGGACCAACATTAGCAAAATTCCCAAATAGGAGTTTAAGTTTATTATTCCCTAAATAGGACTTCAGATTACATTTTTACCCTTCATATAATTAAATCCAAAATCATAGGCTCTGACATCTTAGATCTGCGATCTGCATCTTCCCGGTTTGGGAGCTGCGATCGATCTTCCCAATCTCAGATTTGTCGCCGCCCAACCGCACTTGACGACATCTGCAATTTCAGTGCCATGGCGCCATCCAACACGTGTGATTTCCGATGACCGTGGCCACTCAATTTCTACGGCGACCTCACACTTCGCATCTGCAATTTCTCCAGCAAAGTCAGGTAACCCTCTTTTCCTCCTCCTCCTCCTCCTCCTCCTTCTTCGTCAGTTTTCATCTAGATGTGCTAAGCCCCTCTGTTTTTATTTTCTTCTTATGGATTTCTATCTTTTAATAATTCTGATTAATTTATTTTAAAACATTCAGATTATTTTTTTATCAATTGAATCTTAAAATGGCATCATTGCTGGTTTTTACATTGCTTTGAAGAGAATGCCACTAAAATGGCATTTCATTTTTCAGGATGACAGTTTTAAGTTTTTACATCTGCAAATGTCGCTTTATACGAAAATGCCAAGTTTGACATCCACAAACGCCATGTTTTTATACAAAAAATGCCATAATCGTTTTAAAATGATATCTTTTAATGTTTTGAAAATGACATATTTTTACATCTTTCAAAATAAGGTCCACAGACTGTTGTGATTCACACACAACCAGGTAGTTAGATTTCTCCCCCTAAAGCACAGTCGATTTGCAGAAAGATTGAGACTCAAAGAAAGTCACATCCCAAGTGTTATATACCTTCCGCGTAGATGGTACATAACACTTGTAACCCTTTTAAGCAGCAGAGTAGCCAATCGGCACACACTTGATAGAACGGGGATCCAATTTTGACCAAATATGAGGTGCAACGTGAATAAACACAGTACACCCGAACACTTTCGGAGATAGATCTGAGATACAACTGGCAATATGTGGTAAAGATTTAAGTAATACACGTCGAGGTGTCTTAAACTGAAGCACATGGCTGAGAAGCCTATTAATTAGATAGCTAGTTGTGAGGACTGTGTCACCCCACAGATGTTGATATATATGATGAGTGAACATAGTTGCTCTAGCAACTTCAAGTAGATGTCGGTTTTTTCGCTCTGCAATTCCGTTCTGTTGTGGTGTATTCACGCAGGAGCTAGCATGAATAATCCCATGTTCAGTCAAATACTTGTTCATATTATGGTTAAAGTAATCATGAGCATTGTCTGTTTTTAGTACTTGTATGTTTTCTTGGAACTGAGTTTGTACCATTCGGTGGAAATTCTGAAATATACCAGTAATTTCAGATTTTTCGTTCATCAAGAAAGTCCATGTGAGCCGTGTATGGTCATCAATGAACGTGATGAACCATCGGGAACCATTGATATTTCGAACCTTCAGAGGACCCCAGATGTCACTGTGCACAATTGCAAATGGCTTAGTAGGCTGATATCTAGGTCTAGAGTAAACAGTACGAGTGTGTTTTGCAAGTTGACAAACATCACATTCAAATAACTTGGCACTTCTTTTATTGAATAATAATAGAAATAATTTTTCAAGGTACATAAAGTTGTGGTGACCCTGTTTGTGATGCCATAGAACTAGTTGATAGGCACTACTATCTAAGCAAGCTACAATATGAGCACTTGTAGACTTAGAACTAGACTCCTCCAACTCCTGCTCTGTTCCTCGCAAAATGTATAGGCATCACGAATCTCACCACTGCCAAGTATCATTCTCGTCCCCTCTTCCAGTAACACACAATGAGGACTGAGGAGAACTTAACTTCACACCATAAATCATGAATAACATGGCGGATAGACAACAAATTGCAGTTCAATTTTGGCACATAAAGAACGGGAAACAAGGTGAGATTCTTAGTGACCTTAACCAAACCAATTCTAGCAATGGGTGCTAAGGTACCATCAACAATCCTAACCCCTGTCTTATGAGGGTAAGGTTGCATGTTCTTGATGAGGTTTAAGTTCCTCAGTTGCACCGGAGTCAAGTATCCAAACATTTGTTTGATGAGTATTTCAGACAAGGGCATTAGGTATGGTACCTGATTGCTCGAACAAACTGCAGACGAATCCGTTGGGTTCCCCTTTTTCAGCCTTGAGAACTTGAGAAAACATCTTATGTAAAGCATCAAGATGTGCTTTTGAGAATTGTGGTTCCTCCTCTGCTTCCCTACTGGTAGTCGCATTCGCACGAGGCTTATGCTGACCCATTCTTGATTTCCAGCCGGGGGGGCCTCCAATTATCTCCCAACATTCTGCCTTAATCGCATTGCCCTTGTTCAGATTTGCATGTGTGACGAGAGCAGTAGCTAGCGTCTCTGTCTTGAGGGCAGAACCTTCAATAGCTGGTTTATTTTCCGCAAGCATAAGGCTTCTACGATCCTCCTCGCGAAGCACATCTGCAAAGGCAACCTTTAAGCTAGGGAATGGTTTTGTCCCCATTACCCTGCTTTTGGCCACGTCCAGTTCTTGTCGTGGTCCAAGAAGCATCTGAACTGTTCGTGATAGGGACCCGGCTAATCTACACAAGGGGAATAAGTTCTTTGGGCGAGTCTATTCTAGAAGGCCCAAGTAGATCAGTTAGTTATTAGTTAGATGCTGTTAATAACTAATAACTACCTTCTAATTGTAGAAGGATATAAATAGAATAAGACGGCAGAGGGAGTAAGGCTTTTGGACATTAGACTGGGACTGGGAAAGCGGGAGTTCTATCTCCTCTTTTGGGCTTGTATACTGTTTACTTTGTTGATGGTTTACCTTGTTGAATAAGATACTGTGTTGATTTCTTATTCTTGTATTGTGTATTCTCAGTAATTGTGTGTGAATTGTGTGAATTACTGGAATTGTGCTTGTGATTGTTCTGTTATTGCGGGGTTCTTATCATTGGTATCAGAGCCTGGCGATCGCTGGATGAGATACACGCGAAAGAAGATGGAAGGAAGGATTAATGAAGTTGAGAGAAATATGGTGGATCTTGGAAGGAATCAAAGGGAGATGCAAGATCATATGGACCGAAGAATGCGAGCATTACAGAGTAATATGGCAGACAACATAGCAGAAAGTTTGGCCGCGGTTCAAGCATCGATGCAAGCTACGATGCAAGCAAATTTAGTGGAAATTCAGAAGAAACTTTCCAGTCGATCGCGAAGCCACTCGCATCGATCTAGTACATCGAAGCATGGGAAGCCTCATTGGAGTTCAAACGCCGATAGTAGTTCGGATGGATCCGACAGTTCATCTAATATCTCTGCATCACGACACAAGCGAGATCATCATCGGAACCATCAACCTCATATACAAGCAGGAAGGAAGATTGATTTGCCTATATTCAATGGAAACGATGCTGGAGGATGGCTTTTGAGGATGAATCGATACTTTCGATTAAATAATACACCTGAAGGAGAGAAAATTGATATCGCAGTCCTTGCCATGGAAGATCAAGCATTAAGCTGGTTCCAATGGTGGGAGAGGCAAGCTCAGCACCAGAATTGCGACTCATTTACTTAGGCTTTGATTGAGAGGTTTCAACCTAATATGGTCCAAGATCCACTGGGTCAGTTATTCAGCGTGAAACAAAAAGGAACTGTACAGGAATATAGGGATCAGTTTGAGATAGCTATATCTTCTCATAGCCACTTGACTGAAGAGGTACTGAAGGGAGTTTTTCTGAAGGGTTTAAGGAGGGACGTACGAGCTGAACTGAAGTTACACAAGGCTCGAACATTGGCAGACGTGATGAACATGGTGACTCTCATTGAGAACAAAAATACTGAAGTAGTCTTTATGAAGAATAAGGAGGAAGGAAAGAGGAAGGGACAGAGCAAGCATACTATTCAAAGTGCTAATCAAAATTGGGGAGATAGTAGCAAATGGAAGAGTTCTTCAGTAATTTCTCCTAATATGGGAAGACTGGTAAATGAAACTAAGAATAACCTGGAAATGAAAGATTCTAATCTGAAAAGAATGGGCCCTAGATTATCTCAAGAAGAGCTGCTTGACAGGAGTAAAAAGGGGCTATGTTTCAAATGCGGAGAAAAATGGGGAAGAGGGCATGTATGTCAGATGAAGAATTTTAAAATGAGGCTGGTGGAGAATTCTGAGGATGAACAGGAATCTGAGGCAGAATATGGGGGATCAGCAGAGCATTCTGAGACTCCTTTCAGTCAGATGGAGCATAAGACTATGCAGCTTTCAATTCTAAGCAAGGAAGGTATTCCAGTTATGAAAACTTTTAAAGCTAAGGGGACACTGCAGTGGCCAGGTGGAAATGGAATGGTGAACATCTTAATAGACAGTGGGGCTACCCATAATTTTTTGTCTAAAAAGCTTGTTGAAGGTTGGAATATTCCTTTTGAACCCATACAAGGGTACAGAGTGCAGATAGGGAATGGGGACTGCATCCCTAACCAAGGCAGGAGTACACAAGTGATGATGAATATCCAAGGAGTGGAAATTCAACAAGTTTACTATCTCCTAGATCTGGGAGGCATTGATGCAGTATTAGGGATGGAATGGTTAACTCAATTAGGGGATATGGAGGTGAATTTCAAGCAGCAAATCCTCAAATGGAAGCACCAGGGAAAGACTTACTCGATCAAGGGAAATCTAAGTTCAAATAAGATGGAAGTATCTATGAAAATTATGGCTCAAATCTTACATCAAGTGGGGGATGGGTATCTTCTCAGTTATGAAGGGAAAGTGGGTGATCAAGAGCAGATTCATAGCAAAGGAGAACAATGGGATGATCTGGTAGCAGAATTTCCTGAAGTATTCACTTCTGTGCTGAAATTTCCACCTGCAAGAGATTGTGATCATGCTATTAATATCAGAGAAGGTGCTGAAATACCAAATCTCAGACCTTACAGGTACTCTTTTGATCAGAAAAATGAGATAGAGAAAATTATTGGAGAAATGTTGAAATCTGGGATTATTAAAAACAGTAACAGCCCATACAGCAGTCCCATTTTACTGGCCAAGAAGAAGGGTGGAGGTTGGCGTTTCTGTGGGGATTATAGGGCTCTTAATAAGGTAACTATTCCTGATAAGTTTCCTATACCAGTCATAGAAGAGCTCCTGGATGAATTGGGTGGAGCCAGAATTTTTTCTAAACTTGATCTCAAATCAGGCTACCATCAGATTAGAATGAAGGCTTGTGACACTCATAAGACAGCCTTCCGGACCCATGAGGGTCACTATGAGAATCTAGTTATGCCTTTTGGGCTAACTAATGCTCCATCCACATTTCAGTCATTGATGAATGAAGTCCTGAAGCCATTTTTGAGGAAATTTACATTGGTCTTTTTTTATGACATCCTAGTTTACAGCAAAACTAGAAAGAAACATGAGGCACATCTGAGAATAGTACTGGAAGCTTTGAAGATGAATCAGTTGGTAGCAAACCTTAAGAAATGTTCTTTTGGACAAGAACAGCTCAACTACCTGGGACATGTGATTTCTGCAGATGGTGTGGCTGCTGATCCAGATAAAATTGTAGCCATGAAGGAATGGACTGTACCAAGAGGCCTGAAGGAACTAAGAGGATTCCTAGGCCTTACAGGGTACTATAGGAGGTTTGGAAAGGGATATAGTAGGATTGCAGCACCACTTACTATACTTTTGAAGAAAGATGGGTTTAAATGGGGAGAAGAGGCTACCAAAGCTTTCAATGATTTGAAGACTGCCATGTGTTCTATACCAGTTCTGAAAGTCCCTGATTTTAACAAGTTGTTTATAGTGGAGACTGACGCATCTGGAAAAGGATTGGGAGCTGTCCTGATGCAAGAGGGAGGTCCCATTGCCTACATGAGCAAGGAGTTATCTCCTAGACAACTTACAAAGTCTGTGTATGAAAAGGAGCTTATGGCCATTGTTTTTGCTGTTCAAAAGTGGAGACCTTACCTCCTGGGAAGAGATTTTGAAGTCCACACAGATCAGAAAAGTTTAAAATACTTGATTGAACCGAAGATCATGGGTGAGGACCAACAAAAGTGGATAGCCAAGCTCTTGGGGTATAATTTCACAATCCGGTACAAACCGGGATAGAAAACAAGGCAGCTGACGCTCTCTCAAGGAAATCTACCTATACAGCTCTATCTACAGTCAATTGCCAAGAGTGGGAGGGCTTGGAAGAGGAGTTACAGAAGGATCAGAAATGTGGTGAGATTATTCAGAAGATGATGATACAACCAGAGCAGCACAAGGATTACAGAATGAAAGGGGGGCTATTATATTACCAAGGAAGGTTGGTATTACCCAGAGGATCCCAAAGAACACTAGCCATCTTAAAGGAGTACCATGATTCAGCTGTTGGGGGCCATTCTGGTTATTTCAGGACTATGAAAAGAATTGTCAGTCTCTTCTTTTGGATTGGAATGAAAGCTGAAATTAAAGATTATAATCAAAGGTGTGAGGTTTGCCAAAGAAACAAGTATCAGGCTTTAAAGCCTGCGGGATTGCTGCAGCCCCTACCCATACCTGATAAGGTATGGACAGATATTAGTATGGATTTCATAGGTGGTTTACCAAAATCACAAGGCAAGGCTAAAATACTAGTTGTGGTGGATAGGTTAACTAAGTTTTCACACTTCATTCCTCTTGCTCACCCTTTCATTGCCATAGGAGTGGCTGAAGTTTTTATAAAAGAAGTGGTCTGAAATCTTCAAATTAGCTGGGACCAAGGTAGTCAAAAGCGAGCGATTGGGCGCTTAAGCGCACCAGGCGCAGCGCACATCAGCCCTATCGACTTAACAAAGGCCAGGCGCAGCTATCAGTGTAAGGCGCAGGTTATGCGCAGAAGCGCAGGAGCGCTGTAGCGCTAAAAAGCGCTCGCTTATCTCGCCTGGGGTGGAAACACACATTTAAGCCTAATATTTTAGTTTCATACTTTTTTAAATCAGAAGCCCATATCTTTAATATGATAAAGCCCAATTAAGTATCTAAATAAAAGGTCAAAGCGATGTAAATTTGCGTTAATCAACACAAGCCACAGTTTTGGCGTTCGCTACTCAAGTCGTCAACTCTCCTGCTCTGCTTTACTTACATTACCTCAGTCTTTGCTATCTCCACAACAACCGCAGAAGCTGCCAGCACAATCAATGACAGTAAGGATGTTTTTACTTGGACTGTAATTTGCTGGTCTGGTTTGGTCTGGTCTGATCTGGTCTGGTCTGAATTGGTCTGGTCTGGTCTGGTAAGGTCTGGTTTCTTTGTATTTTTATAACTATCCAAGTCTGGTCTGGTCTGGTCTGGTCTGAACTGGTCTGGTCTGGTCTGGTCTGGACTGGTCTGGTCTGGGGCAAATTACAGTCCAAGTAAAAACATCCTAAGTTTTCTTATCCTTCACTGTTCCATTTTCTTTGTTTTTTCTTTTTTTTCAGCATCTACTTCTTAAAAACTCTATACAAATCATACATATGTATTTGTAAACTACCAGTTTAGTGGTCTATCATGTGTGACTCTCTTCATTGTTCCATTTTGTAATCATTTAATTAGAAAATATTTTCCATTCTTCTAATTATTGTTCCATTTATCAACATTTTCGTATTTGATATTTTTATTCATGTACACTTCATATAATCTAATCATTGAATAGTTTCATGAAGTATATTGTATAAATAATATCTGCCTTGTACATTTACAGGACACGAAATGTCGAACTTCAGCCACAGGTCCTGAAGCTGCCAAATCAGGAAAAACAGACCCAGCTCTTGAAAGCTAAATTTTACTTGGCTTATAAAAATGATGCAAATGCATGAATTTATTCTGGTGAATCATGACTTTATTTTTTAGAAACATGACTTTTTAATGTTGTTGGTTCAATATGATGTTATATACATCATGTTTGATGCTTGCATAATAGTATATGTGATATTTTATAAGTAATGCGCCTCACATGAGTCAGGCGAGCACTTTTTCGCACCTTGCGCCTCAGGCGATGGAAGTACTCCGTCGCCTTGAGTGCGCCTCACGACTTTGACTACCTTGGCTGAGACTAAACTCAAATATAGCACTGCATACCACCCTGAGAGTGATGGACAAACTGAAGTGGTGAATAGGTGTCTTGAAGCCTATCTGAGATGTATTACAAGGAAGACACCTAGACAATGGGTGAAGTGGCTTCAATGGGCAGAATATTGGTTTAATACTAACTATCATTGCTCCTTGAAAAGTACCCCTTATCAAGCATTGTTTAGACAACCACCACCACCTAGCATCAGAGGTGATGTGGGTTTGACTGCAGTTGAAGAAGTAGCTAAGATGACAGCTGAAAGAAATGTGATGTTGTCTGAGTTAAAGGAAAATTTGGCTAAAGCTCAAAACTTAATGAAACAACAGGCTGATAAGCATAGGAGGGAAGAAAACTTTGAAGTTGGAGATAGGATTTTCTTAAAAATACAACCTTACAAGATGAGAACATTAGCCAAGAAGATTAATCAAAAACTCAGCCCCAGGTTCTATGGCCCTTATGAGATCATTGAAAAAATAAGTACAGTAGCCTTCAGACTCAGATTACTGTGTTCCATAGCTCCTTGTTGAAGAAGCTGCTGAAGCCTACTGTATCTTACCAGAATCTCCCAGACTGCCTCACAGAAGGGTGTGAACTGCAAGTGAGTCCTGAAAATGTCAAGGATTTCAGAATTAATCAGGAAGGGATGCAGGAGGTCCTGATACATTGGAAGGAACTTCCTGATTTTGAAGACTCATGGGAGGATTTTCAAATGATTAAAGATCAGTTTCCAGATCTCCAACTTGAGGACAAGTTGGTAGTTCAAGAAGGGGGCATTGATAGGGACCCGGCTAATCTACACAAGGGGAATAAGTTCTTTGGGCGAGTCTATTCTAGAAGGCCCAAGTAGATCAGTTAGTTATTAGTTAGATGTTGTTAATAACTAATAACTACCTTCTAATTGTAGAAGGATATAAATAGAATAAGACGGCAGAGGGAGTTAGGCTTTTGGACATTAGACTGGGACTGGAAAGCGGGAGTTCTATCTCCTCTTTTGGGCTTGTATACTGTTTACTTGTTGATGGTTTACCTTGTTGAATAAGATACTGTGTTGATTTCTTATTCTTGTATTGTGTATTCTCAGTAATTGAGTGTGAATTACTGGAATTGTGCTTGTGATTGTTCTGTTATTGCGAGGTTCTTATCAGTTTGCTTTTTCTCAACAAATGTGCGGACAGTTTTGGCATCCTTAGTGGTTTCCCAGACAGGAGCCTCGTACAGATCCAGTTCGAGCCATGTTCTGCTGAGTTTGTTATAATACTCAGTTGCACTCATCTCTCCTTGTTTAAAATTGAACAATTTTTGCTCAATTCCAAACAATGCAGACGAGTTGTCTTGAGTAGAATAGGTTTCCTTGTCTTGGCAAATTGATGTAGGAGATAGTTGTCTCCGATATCTGGCTCCATGGTTGAGATTAGCCAGAAATCAGAATCAGACTAAATTGTCGTCGTTGTCCCATTTGGTGAAAGCTACAGAGTCGGAATCTTTTTTGCTACTACACCAGTCAAGTATTCCCCTTTTTGCTTTCCCGTGATGAACATAAGTACAGATTGAGACCACTGAAGGTAATTCTTTCCGGTAAATTTCCGGACCGATATTCCTCCAGTTCCTTGGTCAGGGTTCGCTCCATTGCTGCTTGTTACAATCGTGGTAGTGTTGGAAACAGAAGAGCTGTTTTCTGAATTATCTTCAGAATTTTAAAAAGTAGGAGATTTAGATGAAGAAGAAGATCAGTCACCGGTCATCACATTCTTGAAGCTATTTCACCAGCGGCTCTGATACCATGTTAAATTAAGGTTAACACAGTGGGATGGTGAGAAATACTCCCCTAGTTTCTGTATTACATCCTTGCATCGAATATATATACTAAAACTATCATAGATTAACTTCCTATTTAGTAAAGATAGAATAAATCTAAGTAGTAAAGGCATAATAAATCTAATTATGGTAAACTAGATATACACGGAAACAAGGTTGTCAAAAGCGCTCGCCTCAGCGCTTAAGCGCACAAGGCGCAGCGAGCATACCCCCCAGCGCTTGGAAATAGGTGAAGCGCACGTACCAGGGTAAGGCGCAGCATAGGCGCATGAAGCGCTGAAGCGCTGCAAGTCGCACGCCTGGGCCGCCTGAGCTGGAAAAGGGCTGACAGCCTTTTATTTGTTTAAAACTTTTAAATACAATTAGCCCATATCTTTAATAACACTAAGCCCATGAAAATATCTGGGTAAAAACAGAAAAACCTACGTAAAACTAATAGTCTATGTAAATAAACACGTAAAACTTGCGCAAGACACTACTGCTATCATCGCTAGCCATCCTCGCTCTCCTCACTTGAAGCTGCTCTACACCAGCCAGTTCTTTAAGCTTTCATCATCATCTCAAGCAAACTCAGCTCTCCCTCTCAGCACTAAACAAGGTATGTTTTCTTTTTCATGCAGTCCTCTTCATCCAAATACTCATATTACATTAGTGTCTATTAGCGTAAATGTGTAATAAAGTAATAATAATAATACTACGTATTAGTATATTAGTATGTATATAATACTCATATGTACTCTGCTTTGTGGTTTTGTAAAGATATTACTCTGTAATCTTTCAGAGTATATTAAGTTAATAACTTTAAATACATTACTCAGTTCTGTCACTCTTGTGTTTTATAAAGATTAAAGATATTACTCTGTAAAACATGGCTGTTAACAAAGGGCTGAGTATAACATGTTTTTCAAAGTTGATAACCACCTTCTACAACACACAAGATGACAAACACAGATGGAAAACTAAAAGAACATGATAAACACACAACCAGCTTTGTGTTTTTCCATTATTGAGTAGCCATATTGAGTGTTTGGCCCATAAATATATTGTATATGTACTCTACTTTGTGGTTTTCCAAAGATGTTTTCCAGCGTATTAATTATTAAATAATTCCAGCTTTGTGCTTTTCCAGGGTATGGAAGGTGGAACAAGTGCTGCAGGGGTGCTGAAAGTGAAAACTCTACAAAAAAGACCCAGCTTGGAAACACAACTACTTGGCTAACAAAAAAGATCCTAATTTTTGTAAATCATGACTTTATTTTGATGAATCCTAGCTTTTTTATGCATTTGGGTCAATATGATGTTACATACATCATATTTGGTAATTATAGAATAGTATATGTGATTTTATCTAAGAAGTGCGCTTCACCCGAGTCAGGCGAGCGCTTTTTTGCGCCTTGCGCTTCAGGCGCTGGGAATACCATATCGCCTTGAGTGCGCCTCACGACTTTGACTACCTTGCACGGAAATAATATATTCTTCAATTGAAATGTTATTATGTCAGTTTTCTTATCGAGATGGCATTCTCACAGGAGGTTTGTAGTAGGAGGGTGGCGGTGGGGAACTCGGCAAGGGGCAGCGGCGGCAGACTTGTTGGATTCTGGTTGAGGCATAATCCGTTAGGGGTGGGTTGATGAAACCGAAAACTGAAAATCGAATCGAAAAAACCCGAACCACAACCAAAACAACCGAACCGCAAGAAAACCAAAATCGAACTCAAAAAACCGAACCGAATCGTTGTTTGGTTTTTGTTTTCACATCTCAAAACCAAACCGAACAAACCGAACTTTTTAAAACTAGCTATTCTGTTTATTTATCATTAAGTACAATATTTTGTTTAGTTCTTTATTCTTAATTCTAGATGATTAAGTTTGATACTAGATTTATTATAATTTGCAAGATATTGACAATTAATATTTATGGTTTAATTAAGTGAAATGCTTGTACATATACTCAAGTCTATTGCTATAACTCTAATATGTTGATATTTTAAATCGTAATTTATATTTTACTTGTTGCATGATAATGATATTTTGTTGATATATTACTTGTTATGTATGTTTGTTATCACACAAATTTTTATATTGAACAAGTATGTATTAATATAAACTATACTTTAAACAACATAGCTGAAAACGTGAAACTTTAGAGCATAAATAACTTTGTCTAAAAAGAAAGTAGAATGAGTTATTTACTATTAAGAAATGTCTTTTAGTAAAAAAGAAATTGGATCAGTGGACACAACATTTACAAATAAAATTAAAAATACACTATATATAATTCACAAACAAACTCATGCGTTTAACTAATTTAGAAAATGTTTATTAGTATACACGTACTATTTAATTCATTGTTTGAAAGTGCATTTGTTTCTTCTTTTTAATTATGTTTTTGTATCGTATTACAATGGTTTGATGTAGTTTATTTTTTGTTTTCCAATTACTGTTTTTTTAATCAATAAAAATATTTTGGCAAAACCGAAAAAACCGAAACCGAACCGAACAAACCGTGGTTCCGAATTTTTGAACATAAAACCGAACCGAACCAAACTTTTTACTTTGGTTCGACATTTGGTTTTAGGTGAAAACCTAAGGGCCTGTTTACTAACAGAGATATTTTCCTGTTTTCTACTTCTGTTTTTCGTTCTCCAATTTTCTGTTTTTATTTTTCAGTTTTTCTATCTCCAATTTTCTGTTTCTATTTTTTAGTTTTCCATTTTCAAATTTGAAAACATGTTCATCAATTTTTTCACACAGTTCTCCAATTCCACACCTTTGACCCCTACCTCTACCCTTACCACGATCTTACACTCTACCCATACTCCACCACAACCCTTCATACCCACCCATACCTACTCGTAGGGGTCGGGTAGGGAAGTTATGGGTGGGGGTGGGGTAAGGTGGGGTATGGTCGGGGTGGGGTGGTAAGGTCTAGGGGTAGGGGGTTGGTGGGGGTAGTGGGTGGGTTAGGGTCGTGGTTAGGGTTAAGGGTGGGGTAGTGGGTAGGGTTGGGGTAGGGTAGGGGTAGGGTGGGGGTAGGATGGCGGTAAGGGTGGGGGTAGTGGGTGGGGTTTGGGGTTGGGGTAAGGTAGGGGTAGGGTTGGGATAGGATGGCGGTAGGGTGGGGTCGGGACCAGGGTGGGGCTGGGGTAGGGAAGGGGTAGGATGGCGGTAAGGGTGGGGGGTAGTGAGTAGGGTTTGGGGTTGGGGTAAGGTAGAGGTAGGGTAGGGAGTTGGGATAGGATGGCGGTAGGGTGGGCCCGGGATCCGGGTGGGGCCGAGGTAGGGTAGGGTGGGGGTAGGATGGCGGTATGGGGGTGGGGGGTAGGATGGCAGTGGGGTGGAGCCGAGGTAGGAGGCATGTGGTAAGGGGTAAGGTAGGGGTATACGAGGGGTGGGGGTAGGGTGGGTCGGGGGTGGGGTCGAGGTGGTAGGGGGGTGGCGGTAGGGTGGGGTGGATCGAGGTGGGGTCGAGGTGGTAGGGGGGTGGCGGTAGGGTAGGGTGGATCGGGGTGGGGCCGAGGTTGGGGCATGTGGTGGGGGGTGGGGTAAGGTCATTATAGGGAAAAATGGGTACGCGGGGTGGGGGTTGGGTGGGTAGGGTAGGGTAGGGGTAAGGGGTAAGGTACGAGGATGGAGGTACCGGAATGGAATCGACATCGGAGCGGGACGGGACCCACTACTAGGTGTAAGTATGCAAATTCATTGCAAAGGCACTGTAGCATCTGCGTTTTCCAAATTTGGAAAACTGGTAAAAGTCACTTCTCCAAATCATTAAGGAAAATAGAGACATGTTTCATTTTTTCCGTTTTGGAAAACGATTTGGTAAACGCGTTTTTCTTTTTTCCTTTCTCCAGTTTTCCAGGAATTTCTTTGGTAAACACGTTTCCTGTTTTCTGTTTTCCAGTTTTCCAGTTTTCTGGAAAACTGGAAAATATTTCTGTTAGTAAACAGGCCCTAACTGTTTGAACCGAACTCACCCCTATAATCCGTCATACACTTATCCCATGGCACCCATCGTCGAACGAACTAGCCCGGGATGAGCCGTAAAGCTAATTTTATTTCATTAAGGGTAGTTTTGTCATGTTAATATTTTTTAGTCCTAAAAAATATATAAGTCCTATTTATGCAATTCTGGATAGTTTTAGTCTTATTTAGGGAGTTCTCTATTACAAATCATTCTTTCATTAAAATTAACCATTTAGGGAATTCTCTTAAAAATAATTAAAAATCATTCTTTCATTAAAAATAACCATGTGTAACGAGAATAGTCATTTATGTATATAGCAAACAACGAAAACCTAGAACAAATATGACTTGACATGGACCCCAAACATCATAACGAACCAAATGAAACACGAATGTGACTCTAATATTAACACTTCACAGGTATGACTGGCGGGGTTGTTTGTCAAGATGACACGACTCACTATCTAAAAAGGGAAGAAAAGATAAATTCGTTGTTTGTCAATATTAACCATACTTTGGAGTTTTGAGAGGCTTGGATGACCTAAGCGATTATGTAAGGTTGTGATAACAGATAAAATATATGACTCATTCTTATTCATGCATTGAAGTTTGTAACAAAAGCTATTTATAGCTACAACTAGGACTAAGGCACAAAGTGGGCTGAGCTTGGGTTAGGATTTCAACAAATTGCAAAGAGAGAGAATAAGATATATCACCAGCATTGATGAAGTTTCTAAGAGCTCCGTCAAGAATGTACTTTGACCAGCCATAATATGATCTTTAGCACCCATACGAACGAAGACTTTGTCAACAGGGGACAGATCAAAGGATTCCGCTGGTACATAGGCTCCAACCTGCAAAAAATATAGTGAGAGGTCATTATACAGAAAGCATGCCAAACAAAAGAACAACAACAATTTCAAATCACCTGTGCCAAAATCACCGCCAAGCAGACTTGGCGCAGAAGCGTAGACTTTCCTCCCATATTAGGCCCAGTTAGCAGGATGAAGCTCGAATGTTCAGCACTACCAAGTGTAACATCATTGGAGACAAATGCTCCTTTATCTAGAGAATCACTTACAATGATCGGATGCCCTAAGCTTTTAGCAACAAGGCATGGCACATCATTGTGAGAGGATAATTCCCTTAAATGTGGGCGGCATGTTGGCCCTTCATAATAATCACTAGCAATGGATAAACTGACCAAAGCATCCAGTTCTGAAAACGTAACACATCAACGTTGGTCCTTTACAGTAATCACGTTCAACAGAACTCTACGAAATAGTATCATATGATATTTTGAAATATGATCACTTATTTGATATTTTGATATTAGTTTTTTATGTGTTAAATGACTGGACTGTTAGTGAAAAATTACTTTATAACACTTTTGGTATATATTCAAAGAGCTGGTATTATAAAAAGTTATTTTAAAGTATGTATTATTTTTAGTTCATGAAACATAGTTTGTATTATTTATAGTTATTTTCCCCTATATCAATAATAAAAGTAGTGGTTATTATTCAAAACCTTCAGCAACTTCAAAAGGCACCATATTAATGAGTTTAGGTTTATCACACTACCCATGGTATTTCTTTTTTGTCTGTTCTGCTAATTACAAGAACTAGACAAGTCATCCATCCAAAAGCTCACATCCACCTACCAAATATCCATTTAATATGGATGCTGATTTGCTTGCCTAGTCATGAAAATTATGTGTGAAAGCTCTAATTCCATGTCATAAAAATATAAAGAATATGGATATATAATGTTGTTACATAGCAGACGTATATATACAACTATACAAGAAGAGTACTAGATAGGCTAGGCCCATACAATTAGGGCAAGATTAGGGTTAGGGTTAGTAAATGTCTAAATACATCTACAATAACTAACATGGATAGATGACAACCAAGTGCAGCTATGCAAGCTGTATGTAAGTGTCCCCGTCCTCAATTTGTCAAGGTGTTATGTGTGGCTTCTTTGGAATGACAGGTTTTGGCTACAATTTTATGAAGACTTATGGGGTCATTGTCACACCCCTTGGATCATTACTCATTCATTTGGACATCAATCATAAAGGTTGGGATCGGATTCCGCATCTGCAAATACAACAATCCTTTTCACTTGTCCTAAGGATGTCCGATTTTATTGCGCCTCATAGAGTGTGAGTACAATTGGAGCCATCTTCCACCAAGCCCCGACCTAGCCTTTTCATCCGCAAATTGGAAGTTCGACACCACAAACAATCAAAATAATGAGCATGACTTGATTGTCCTTGCCATGTTATCCACCATTAGAAACACGACTTAAGAAGTTATATTAGAAAGATATCAGAGAGAGAAATTGAGAGAAATGTGAATTGTATTATTGTCTCAAGTGAAGCAGTAGTATAGGTATATATAGAGTTGGTTAAGTCATTAACAAAACTCAACTGACTAAACCGATACTCTATTAATAGCTAAACCTATTACAAGGTAGTCTATTTAGAGTATATCTAATATTCCCCCCTACAAACTTATTGTGGGGTACTGATCACACTAAGTTTGTCTCTTAGAGCAACAAAGCTGGAGCTGGATAGGGGTTTAGTGAGAATATCAGCAACTTGATAGTGGGAAGGAATATGATAGACTTGTAGCTGCTTCAAATGAACTTTCTCCCTGACAAAGAAGAGATCAATTTCCATATGCTTGATTCTAGAATGTAGAACTGGATTGTGAACAAGTTGGACAGTACTGAGATTATCACAGTAGACTTTAGGAATGGAGAAGGGTACTTGAAGTTCTTTGAGAAGAAACTGAATCCATAATAATTCAGCAGTAGTATCAGCAAAACTCATGTACTCTGCTTCAGCTGAAGATCTTGCAACTCTAAGTTGTTTTCTTGACCACCATGAAATGATATTGGGACCAAGAAAAACACAAGAGCCAGATGTGGATTTTCTGTCTATAGGATCAGATGCCCGATCTGCATCACAGTAGGCTGAAATGGGAAGAGGTATGTGTTGGATAATTGATACCCATAATCTATACTAAAGAGAGTTTGAACAAGAATGTAGGAGAAGAAAATGAAGAAATTGTATATTGTGAATGAATATTGGTTGTATGAGTTACAAGCCTCCTATAAGGAGTATATATAGGGAAAATCCGGGTCTGGGCCTCTAATATGGGCCTGACAGACCCGGTTACATAAATGGACTGATAGTATAAAAAGCTAATCTAGAACATTTGAATAATAATAATAGTAATGTACAATAATATTAATGATATCTGCTAAACGTGTGTGGGCCGCTGTCCAGGCCTAGTAGTCGGCATACCGGGGGGTCGGAGTCCATATAATCCATCAGGAGTCCCCCACTCCCTGAGTCGAGAGTACTCGAGGCGAAAGGGAGTAGTCCAAACTGTATCTGCAACGTTCTTCCTCTTCGGCCAGGGGACCACCACCCTTGTCCATTATGGGGAGGTGCCTCGTTAAAAACCTTTACTAGGAAAAACCCAGTGGGAAAAAATCCTAATAAAGGGAAAAAGAGTACACCTAGCGCCCCCAACATGAAACAAGGAAGGTAAATCCCCTCCGGCATAATCAATCTAGCTCAGCTCCTCTTCAACTGACTCAGCTCTCGTTCCTGCTCTTGCGTGATATTTTCTGCTCATCTAGAAACTCTGACCCCTCAGTCCCCCAGTCCCCACTCTTTGAGGCGAGTGGAGACGAGGTGAAAATGAGTAAAGTCATCTTCGTACCTACACATTTATCATACATATAAAAAATTTTCTTGGGATTTATGTTCCCGATCGGGAGTTCGTCACTTGAAACAAGTGGAGATGTGAATTGTTAATGTAATGATAAAATACTTAGTAGAATGGATGTGTGAGCCATTCGTAAGCAACGGTCGCCACTCGAGGAATGACTAAGACCGGTCTTCGTACCCGACTTGGTCGGGGTTTTGTCTTCATGCCCGACTTGGTCGGGGCTTTGTGCCTGAGGAGACAGGGCTTTGTGCCTGAGGAGTCAGGGCTTTAAATCCTAGTGATGGGTCTCAAGCCACACTCTACTAGGCATTTGATCATAAGTGCGTGATAGTGTGACATTTAACCGACAAAAAATATTTATTAAAATAAATATAAATAATATTAAAATTAAAGATACTTATCTTTTTGAAGTGGGCTGAAATATTAGACTTTGTGGGCTGATGTTGAGATTTGTATAGGATCTTGTTAATTCATAGGCCCATTTCAACTGGAAAAGAGCCTGTCGACTAAGCTTGGTCCACATCGGTGCAACTCTTAGATCTGGAATCAAAGGGGCTTCCGCTGAGATGATATCCGCAGTGCTAGGGACTCACTCAACCCCTTGCTGCCGCCGGAAACAGAGGGGATAGAGACGATGCTGGATAAGTGAGGCCGGAGAAGGTGAGGAAGCTGCCGCCACTTCCTCCGTCAAGCCAAGCTCCACTGGCCTGAAAACAAATCAGCAGCCATCGTCGCTAGCTGCCACCGGAGAGAGGAAGAGGGTCCATCAGGGCTGCTTCTTTGCGTGACATTTCTCTGTCACCGGCGAGGTCTTGAGCGCCAGCCTCGCGCAGGGAGTTCGTCATCGCCATTAATGGAAGAAGCCTGCGAGCAACGGTTCTGCAGCGGCGAGATGTGGAAACGGCGGCGAACCCGGAGCAGTGACAAACCAGCTTCATCCCGTGTAGATCCTCGTCGAGGCTCCACGCGTTTGGCCTGGTAGACAAAGCATCGCCGGTGAAGGAGGGAGGAGGGAACGAGGCTTGCACCATGTTTTTGAGATCTGAGCTTTTCGGTGCTGACTTTGGTCCCGTCACACCACGACGGCCGGAGCAACAACAGCGAGCTGGCCAGCCACGAGATCTGAAACTATGGACGAAAGATTTGGTGCAGCGGCAGGGAGGTCTGGAGCTGTACCTGTGAGATCTGGACGGCGACCGCCACCGTTACTTCCTAGACCAGGTGCGGCGGTAGGCCGCAACTTGGACGACAACCAAAGATCCGGTCAAATAAGGGACTTCTCGATCTGAAATTCCAGACCCTTCATCCCATTATTTTTTTTATCTTCAAGAACAGTTTTGGCTAGATTTTTTTCAAGATTGGAATGAAATTTTTGGTATTTTGGGGAGGTTTTCTCACTTGATTGTGTTCAACCTCTCAACGAGAGCACCATTGTTGGATAATTGATACCCATAATCTATACTAAAGAGAGTTTGAACAAGAATGTAGGAGAAGAAAATGAAGAAATTGTATATTGTGAATGAATATTGGTTGTATGAGTTACAAGCCTCCTAAGGAGTATATATAGGGAAAATCCGGGTCTGGGCCTCTAATATGGGCCTGACAGACCCGGTTACATAAATGGACTGATAGTATAAAAAGCTAATCTAGAACATTTGAATAATAATAATAGTAATGTACAATAATATTAATGATATCTGCTAAACGTGTGTGGGCCGCTGTCCAGGCCTAGTAGTCGGCATACCGGGGGGTCGGAGTCCATATAATCCATCAGTATGGAAGATAAAGGAAGAGGTTTGATTACAATACCATGTGTATCGGCAGAGGATATGTTTAACAGCTTGCCAGTGTTCTTGTAAGGGTTTAGCCATAAATTGACAGACCTTATTGACAGCATAGCATATCTCAGGTCTAGTCAGAGTGGCATATTGCAGAATACCCACAACAGATTAGGAAGATAGTTGCTGCCCTCTTGAGTAAGTTTACATGTGCTGACCATTGGTGTGGTTACCCCTTTAGAGTTAATCATACCAGTTTGATGAAGCAGATCTCTGATGTACTTGGTTTGAGATAGATGCAGACCACCATCAGATAGTTTATGTACTTCTATTCCCAGAAAGAAGTCCAAATCTCCCAGATGTTTTAGAGAGAAAGATGAGTCAAGCTTATGAATGAGTTGATTGATGGCAGAAGGTTGATTGCCAATAACCAAGATATCATCAACACATATCAAGATGTATATCTGAACACTAGAGGATAGATAGATCAAAAGAGAAGAATCAGACTTGCTCTGTTTAAAACCAACACTGTATAGAATTGAGGTGAGCTTAAGAAACCACGCTCTGGGAGCTTGTTTAAGCCCATACAAGGACTTATGCAGTTTGCAGACAAGAGAAGTATCTTCTGCTTGGAATCCAGGGGGTTGTACCATGTACACTTCTTCATCTAGCTCTCCATTTAAGAAGGCAT